TTTAGTGTGTAATTACTGTAAATAAAGTCATTCTATATAACCACAATGTAACATTAAAATTAGGAAATTAGGCCGGGCATGGTGGCTCACATCTGTAATCCCAGCATTTTGGGAGGCTGAAGTGGGAGGATCAGCTTGAGCCCAGGAGTTCTAGATCAGCCTGGGCAAGATAATGAGATCTCATCTCTACAAAAAAAAATTAGCCAGGTGTGGTGGTGCACACTTATAGTTCCAGCTACTTGGGAGGCTGAGGCAGAGGGATTGCTTGATCCCAGGAGTTCAAGACTGCAGTGAGCCGTGAAGGTGCCACTGTAGCCTGGGTGACAGATCTGACTTAAAATTAAGAAATTAACAGTCAACATTTTGCCATCTAATATTAGAGCCCATTGAAGTTTCATCAAATGTGCTAGTGAAATTTGTTATAGTGAAAGGATTTGGTCTAAAATCTCACATTGTATTTGTTTGTCACATCTGTTTAGTCTCTGACAGTCTCAGGAAAATTCCTTTGTTTTTTTCTTGCTTTTCATGACCTAGACACTTTTGGAGTGTTGTAGTTATTTTGCAGCCTGGCTTTCCATTTGGGTTTGTCTGCGGCTTCCCTATGATTAGATTCCGCTTTTGCTTCTTTACCAGGAACATCACAGAGGTTCACTCTGGTCACTTGATTAAGGTGGTGTCTAATTAAGACTTCTTCATGGTAGTTTCTTCTTTCGCCTTTGAAATAAACCAGTGTTTTGTGAAGAGATATTTCAAAACTATGTAGATATTCCTTCATACATATTCCTTTTTTTTTTTAGAGTCAAGAGTCTCACTCTGTCACCCAGGCTGGAGTGCTGTGGCACACTCACAGCTCCAAAGCCTCGACCTGCTGAGTTCAGGTGATCCTTGTGCCTCAGCCTTCCAAGTAGCTGGAACTATGGGCATGTGCCACCATGCCTGGCTAATTTATTTCTGTATTTATTGTAGAGATGAGGTCTCACCAAGTTGCCTAGGCTGGTCTCGAATCCATGGGCTCAGACAATTCTCTCACCTTGACCTCCCAAAGTGCTGGGATTATAGGCATGAGCCACTGTGTCCAGCCCCTTCTTATATTTTATTTTACTTATTTATTTTTATTTTTATTTTTTTTGAGTTGGAGTCTCACTCTGTCGCCCAGACTGGAGTGCAGTGGCCGCTCCCGGCCACCGCAGCCTCGACCTGCTGGGCTCCGGCGATCCTTCCGCCTCAGCCTTCCAAGTAGCTGAACTACAGGCGCGCACTACCATGTCCGGCTAATTTTTTGATTTATTGTAGAGATGAGGTCTCACCAAGTTGCCTAGGCTGGTCTCGAATCCATGGGCTCAGACAATTCTCTCACCTTGACCTCCCAAAGTGCTGGGATTATAGGCATGAGCCACTGTGTCCAGCCCCTTCTTATATTTTATTTTACTTATTTATTTTTATTTTTATTTTTTTTGAGTTGGAGTCTCACTCTGTCGCCCAGACTGGAGTGCAGTGGCCGCTCCCGGCCACCGCAGCCTCGACCTGCTGGGCTCCGGCGATCCTTCCGCCTCAGCCTTCCAAGTAGCTGAACTACAGGCGCGCACTACCATGTCCGGCTAATTTTTTGATTTATTGTAGAGATGAGGTCTCACCAAGTTGCCTAGGCTGGTCTCGAATCCATGGGCTCAGACAATTCTCTCACCTTGACCTCCCAAAGTGCTGGGATTATAGGCATGAGCCACTGTGTCCAGCCCCTTCTTATATTTTATTTTACTTATTTATTTTTATTTTTATTTTTTTTGAGTTGGAGTCTCACTCTGTCGCCCAGACTGGAGTGCAGTGGCCGCTCCCGGCCACCGCAGCCTCGACCTGCTGGGCTCCGGCGATCCTTCCGCCTCAGCCTTCCAAGTAGCTGAACTACAGGCGCGCACTACCATGTCCGGCTAATTTTTTGATTTATTGTAGAGATGAGGTCTCACCAAGTTGCCTAGGCTGGTCTCGAATCCATGGGCTCAGACAATTCTCTCACCTTGACCTCCCAAAGTGCTGGGATTATAGGCATGAGCCACTGTGTCCAGCCCCTTCTTATATTTTATTTTACTTATTTATTTTTATTTTTATTTTTTTTGAGTTGGAGTCTCACTCTGTCGCCCAGACTGGAGTGCAGTGGCCGCTCCCGGCCACCGCAGCCTCGACCTGCTGGGCTCCGGCGATCCTTCCGCCTCAGCCTTCCAAGTAGCTGAACTACAGGCGCGCACTACCATGTCCGGCTAATTTTTTGATTTATTGTAGAGATGAGGTCTCACCAAGTTGCCTAGGCTGGTCTCGAATCCATGGGCTCAGACAATTCTCTCACCTTGACCTCCCAAAGTGCTGGGATTATAGGCATGAGCCACTGTGTCCAGCCCCTTCTTATATTTTATTTTACTTATTTATTTTTATTTTTATTTTTTTTGAGTTGGAGTCTCACTCTGTCGCCCAGACTGGAGTGCAGTGGCCGCTCCCGGCCACCGCAGCCTCGACCTGCTGGGCTCCGGCGATCCTTCCGCCTCAGCCTTCCAAGTAGCTGAACTACAGGCGCGCACTACCACGCCCGGCTAATTTTTTGATTTATTGTAGAAATGAGGTCTCGCCAAGTTGCCTAGGCGGGTCTCGAACCCATGGGCTCAGGCAATCCACTCACCTCAGCCTTCAAGGTGTGGGATTACAGGCTGAGCCACTGAACCCGACTCTTTCTTATATTTTAAATGTTTGTCTTTATTTATTTACCTAGGTATGAACTCATGGCTCCTATTTTACTCAGTAGCATGTAATCTATTACTATTATTATTATTATTAATTTTGATCCTCAGATTGTCATAGACTTGGCCAATGGGAGCCCCCTCAAGCTGGAATCTATATCCTTTTGACATGCTCCCATAATTCTTTCAACACTCCTTTGTTTTCTGGTATAATAAGCTATCACTACTTTTAGTACTGCTTATAGGTCTGTAGTAGGAATTTTGAAAAATTCTACTTTGTGTAATTCCTATCAACAAAGAGAATTATGTATAGAACCCCTATAATTATAGGAGGAGAGCCCTCTGCTGGGCTGGGAGCTAGGTCCCTGGGTTTTAAGTCTTGAGGTTTGCAATGTGGGAAACTGTGGTTTCTGAGTACTGCATGTGGCCTGAAGGCCAGAGTGTCATTCCTGTAGTCCCTGGAGGGTGAGGAAGGTCATGGTTGGCATTGCTACAGTCTAAAACCTGATGGTGAGCAATTTGCTCAGAGAGGTGGAAAACTTCTGTGAGAGTGATGGTCCACCAGCTGCCCTCTGCCCAGGCCCTGCCCTCAGTCTGAAGGAGGCGACAGCCTTGCCCACGGAGTCCTTAGTTTTTTTTGTTGTTGTTTTGATTTTTGAGTCTGAGTCTCACTCTGTTGCCCAGGCTGGAATGCAGTGACGCATTCACAGCCACCGCAGCCTTGACCTGCTGGGCACAGGTGATACTTCTACCTTAGCCTTCCAAGTAGCTGGAACTACAGGCACATGCCACCATGGCTGGCTTTTTTGTTTGTTTGTTTTTGTAGAGATGAGGTCTCACTAAGTTTCCTAGGCTGGTCTCAAACCCCTGGGCTCAGGCAGTCCTCTTGCCTTTGCTTCCCAAAGTGCTTGGATTACAGGTGTGAACTACCACACCTGAACAGGAGCTCTTAGTTTGATGGTTAAGGTACAAGTCAACCCTCAGGAGTCTCTAAAGGAGAAGTCTCCATCTAAAGGGAGGAACACACATTTCTAATTGTTACAGTCACCTAAAGGAAACAAAGTGTTTCCAGAAAGAAGTGGCCAAATGTGTCAAATGCAGCTGAGAAGTTAACATAATAGTGGTCCATTGGCTTTGGCAATATGTAGCACTGTAACACTATCAGAGTTTTTTAAGAATAGACTAATTAGAGTAAACTGAAGAAAGATGAGAGAGTGGAAAAACAAGCATAGCAATCTTTTCAAGTTTTGTTGTGAATGAGAGCTGAGAATTGGGGCAGTAGCAGAAGAAAGTAGGGTCATGGAATAATAATTAAAAAAAAGACATTAAAGTATGTTTGAGCCAGGTGTAGTGGCTCATGTCTGTAGTCCCAGTTACATGGGAGGCTAAGGTGGAAAGATTGCTTCAGCCCAGTAGTTCAAGGCTGCAGTGAGCTATGATTGTGCCACTGCACTCTAGCCTGGGTGAGACCCTGTCTCTTAAAAAAAAAAAAAAAAAGTATGTAGCATGTTTATCAGTTGAAGGGAATGATCCAGAAGAAAGAAATTTGCAAGGCAGGAACTTGAAAAAGGGATAGTTACAGAGATAGAATTATTGAAAAGACTAAGATGACGAGATACATTGCACAAATGGAGGGGTTAGTTTGGGTGGTTAGGACCTGTCCTTTACATTAACAGGAGTGAAAACTAATTACAGCACCTGTTAAATAACTTTTCTTGACCCAGTGCAAAATAGGCCTCTTTATTCAAAAATTTTTAAGAATTTCAAGACTGTGACAGAAGAGCATTAACCAAGCGTGGAGCCCTTCTAAGCCTGGGGATCTGTGCAACTATATAGTTTGTATGCTCATGAAGCCGGCCCTCGTTGAGGAGGTGATGAGATCGAAAAAGGGGCAGGATGTCTTTTGGGCGAGTCCATTCTTTCTGGGCCTCCACTGACTCACGAGAGGCTAAGAAGAGATGACTACGAGCACTTTCAGCTCCGCTGTTCTACAAGCGGGGAGGTCACTGGTAGGAGGGAGAAGCAAAGCTTGCCCTTTTTTAAACTTCCAATTCTGCCAGATTTGAGCCCAGGGCATTCTGGAAGGCTCGAAAGCATCGGGTGACCATAGCAACTCACGACAAACTCCGTGCTCCCGCACCCTCGGCTCCACCCACCGCTTCACCTACGAGCTCGTTGATTGACTCAGCCAATACACCAATGGTCGACGAAGCGGGCTGCTTGCCGCACGGTCAATGGCCGCGGGCGGGGAGGGAGGCAGGACGAGCCGGGGAGAGGGCGGACCTAGGCGACCCGGCGCTGGCGTGTTTCCGGCTCCGGTGCGGAAGGCCGACGACTTGGAGCCGTTGGGCCCGACGCGTCCCGAAGGAGCAAGGAGGTCTTTAAACTCAAGTGCAGAGCTCGGATCGTGGATCGAGGCCGGCGCAATGGGCGGGGAGCAGGAGGAGGAGCGGTTTGACGGCATGTTGCTGGCCATGGCGCAGCAGCACGAGGGCGGCGTGCAGGAGGTAACGGCCCGCGCGGCTTCGCCCATTCGGCGGCCCTAGCCGCACTCCTGCCCTTCTTTGCCTTCGAGGACCGAGGTCCGCCTCTGGGCCTCGCGGGCTTTTGGGATCCCCTCACATTTTCACCGTACCCCAACTTCCGGTCCGACCCCCCGCCAGCAGGTCTCACCCATCTGGTATCAACCCCAGGTCTCCAGTCCCTTCAGTAGTTCCTGTATTAGCAGTTCTGGCGTCCCTGAACCCACCCCTTGAATTCCCTCAGAGTTTAGGATCCTCCTTTGGTCTCACACATGCTTTTTTACCCTTTGATGGCCGCTGGCGAGGAACATCCCTTAGGAAGAACCATCACAAACATTGTGATTTGCATTTACCACGACTTGGAGCAAGCCTACGAGTGTATGCGATGGGGGCGCGGGGTAATGTTAGCACGTGGTCCTTTTAGGCCTTGAATAGGGAAATGGGAGGCTGTATACACAGTTGGTTTCCACCGCCTGCCTACTTGGGATCTAACATTTCTCTAAGCCTCTGTTTCTTTGTCTGTGATTTCTCAGTAATCTGGTATGTGTTGTCGTTGAGTGATTAATGTGTGCCAGACATTCATGCGACTGGATCCTGGGAGTACAGAAACCTGTCTTTGCCCCGATGGAGCTTACATAGAGCATTTCTTCTTTTTTTTTTTTTGAGTTGAATAATAGGAGTCTCACTCCGACACTCAGGCTGGAGTGCAGTGGCACACTCAGAGCCACCCCAGCATCAACCTGCTGGGTTCTGGCGATCCTTCCCCCTCAGCCTTCCAAGTAGCTGGAACTACAGGCGCACTACCACACCTGGCTATTTTTTAATTTATTGTAGAGACGAGGTCTCGCCAAGTTGCCTGGGCCGGTGTCTAACCCATGGGCTCAGGCAATCCACTCGCCTCGGCCTCCCTTTTAAAGTGCTGGGATTACAGGCTGAGCCACCAAGCGCGGCCACAAAGGGCATTTTAAAAGCATAATACATACAGAATGGCCAGATACATAGTATGTAAATAATAAGGACCAACTAGCATAGATTCTGGAGTTGGTTTTTGAAACAGAAACGGAGAATTAGAGGTAGAAAAGCCTATAAAGATCTGCACAGAACTCTAATTCCATAAAGCACCTTGAGGGGCCAGAGAGTGTCAGGGATTTGTTTTCAAGATCATCCAACAGGACCAGAACCCTTAGGCCAGTGTGTGCTTTCCACAGTCCATTGCTGATTCTGTGCCTCCTGGAGACAGGTTTTATTTTTTATTTTCTGTTGCTCAGGCCGGAGTGCAGTGGCATGCTCATGGCCACCACAGCCTCAACCTGCTGGGCTCAGGTGATCCTTCTGCCTCAGCCATCCAAGTAGCTAGACCCACAGGTGCATGCCAGCATACCTGGTTTTTTTTTTTTTTTTAATTGTAGAGACAAGGTCTCACCAAGTTGTCCAGGCTGGTCTCAAACCCCTGAGCTCAGGCACTCCTCTTGCCTCCTTCTCCCAAAGTGCTGGGATTACAGGCATGAGCCACTGGAAGTAGGTTTTTAGTGAACTTTCTTTTCCTATTCTTTTACTGAGGTGCCCATGGGACCAAGGATTTCTAAGCCCTTTGAGAGAGGGAGAGTATTTATTTTCGTTTCTTTTTTTTTTTTTGAGACAGAATCTCACACTATTACCCAGGTTGGAGTGCAATGGCAAGATTAGGGCTTACTGTAGCCTCGACCTCCTTAGTTCAAGTAATCCTCCTACCTTAGCCTCCCCAGGTACATACCACCATGCCCAGCTAATTTCTAAATTTTTTTGTAGAAATGGAGTCTCTGTGTTGCCCAGGCTGGTTTTGTATGCCTGGCTTCAAGTGATCCTCCCACCTTGGCCTCCCAAAGTGCTGGAGTTACAAGTATGAGCCACGTGTCTGGCCAGGGAAGGGTGTTTGTCATTTGCAAGTGTGAAGAGGCTTCATGTCCCCATTTCCCTAAATGTTGACACAAAACTGGATTTGGGAGTGAGTTCCATTTTTTTTTTTCTTTTTTTGACTTGGGGTCTCTGTCATCCAGGCCGTAGTGCAGTATCACAGTCGTGGCTTACTGCAGCCTCAACCTTCTGGGCTCAGGCAATACATCCACCTCAACCTCCCGAGTAGCTGGGACTACAGGCATGCGCTACCATGCCTGGCTAATTTTTTTGGTTTTTTTTGTAGAAACAAGGTCTTGATATGTTGCCCAGACTGGTCTCGAACTCCTGGGCTCAAGCAGTCCTCCTCCTGCCTCAGCCTCCCAAAGTGCTGAGATTACAGGTTTAAGCCACTGCACTCAGCCGTAAGGCCATTTTTGAGTTAATTGAAAAAGCATCTAGAAAAAGGAATTGAAACCATTGAGATAAATTCGGTCATTAATTTGGAACCACTTACTTGGACAAATAAAGGGCTTGTGTGTACTAAAGTTGCCACTAAATTGTTTCATTCAGCAAGAGTTTTACTGAGCATGTAAGGTATACTTAGCCATCTCTAGTGCTTGGCATTGCAGATGTAGACAGAATAAGCACGTTTCATGGTTCCTGCTTGTGAGGGATTTACCCTTTGCCAGTGGATTTCTTGTTCCATACTTCACCTTCATTACTTCATTTAATCCTCACAAGCTCCTTAGATATAGGTCCTACAGCTTATTCCTGTTTAAGAGTTAAGATTCGCGACCCACCTGGGCAACTTGGCAAGACCTCATCTCTAGAATAAATCAAAAAATTAGCCAGGCGTGGTAGCGCGCGCCTGTAGTTCCAGGTACTTGGAAGGCTGAGGCGAAAGGATCTCCGGAACCCAGCAGGTCGAGGCTGCGGTGGGCGGGAGTGGCCACCGCACTCCAGTCTGGGTGACAGAGTGAAACTCCAACTCAAAAAGAAAAAAAGAGTTAAGAAACATCCCCAAAGTTAAAAGCTAATATATATTAGTCTGATACTCAAACCCATAGGCTTACCCACTTGTCTACATTGGTACTACAGCCAGGATTAGTACATATTAACCTTGTTTTGAAGTTGTGTCATTTGCTCCCCTCCCTCCGGCTTAACCGTAGTGACTTATCTAGTGTTTTAATGGACTTTTTACTTTTTTGGGAGGAAAGCTGGGCCCAGGCATTTCATGCCCTGCATGCAGAGGAGCATGCATATGCTTAGGCTGCTTCTAGCACCACAAGGAAAGTGAATTGTGCACACACACATAAGAAATCTGCCTTCCAGTGATCTAGACAAGGTTATGGTAGGCTTCATGGCACAAGTGACAAAGGGGACCTGTTAAGGAGGGTGTCTCCTTGGTTGGAAGGAGGTGAAATAGTGAAGGCCCAAGTTTCCTCCTAGACAAAGGAAGTTGTCTTCTGTGCAGTTGAGGGGCTCCCAGTGTGGCAGCTCCACAGCTTTCATCTTCTCCCTCTGTTTTTCAGCTTGTGAATACCTTCTTCAGCTTCCTTCGACGCAAAACAGACTTTTTCATCGGAGGAGAAGAGGGGATGGCAGAGAAGGTGAGTGTTGGAGACTGCTTTCCCTTGGGCAGCTCTATCTCTTCAGAAAAAAAGCTCATCTGACCTTCCCTTGGCATAATAGTAACTTTAAGCTGGAGTGAAGTGCCAAACAATGGAAGCAGGCTGTTGTTTCTTGACAGCGGGCTCTACTCCTTGCTAAGTGCATTATCCACCTCGTTTTCCATGATCCTAGCAGTTCTACAAGAGGGACAGGTGTTAACTATTCCTGTTTTACACATGTGGAAATTGGTTCAGAGATGTTTTGCACCTTGTCGAAAGTCTTCAGTTGAGTTGCGGGAGAACCAGGTTGAAACCAGAGGCTGCCTGCTTTCTGCCCTAACACCGTGCCTCTCAGTTTCTTTTCCAATGAGGAGATTTTAACTAATTACCTAGCTGAGAGATGAGAATGGGCAAATGTTAGAAATTGAGGCTTAGAAGACAGACGTTCAGAGCCTGCCAATCCGTGTCTTCCCAGATGCTATGACCCAAAGTTCAAGAATTTGGGAATTGTGTTTTGCAGTACTTACGCTAAGATTTTTTTTTTTTTTTTTTTTTTTGAGTTGGAGTCTCACTTTTTGGCCCAGGCTGGAGTGCAGTGGCATGCATGCTCAAGGCCACCCCTGCGTTGACCTTCTGGGCTGTGATGATCCTTCTGCCTCAGCCTTCTGAGTAGCCAGAACTACAGATGCGTGCTGCCATGCCCGGCTGTTTTTTATTTTATTGTAGAGACGAGGTCTCGCCAAGTTGCCCAGGCTGGGCTTGAACCCGCGGGCTCAGGTAATCCACTCACCTCGGCCTGTCAAAGTGCTGGGATTACAGGCTGAGCCACCGAGCCCAGCCTTTTATTTATTTATTTTTTTTGAGTCAAATTTTCGCTCTGTCACCCAGGCTGGAGTGCAGTAGCATGCTCACAGCCACCGCAGCCTCTACCTGCTGGACTCAGTTGATCTTTCCACCTCAGCCTTCCAAGTAACTGTAACTACAGTCATGAGCCACCATTTCCAGCTAATTTTTTAAATTTGTTGTAGACGTGAGGTCTGGCCAAGTTCCCCAGGTTGGTCTTGAACCCCTGTACTCGGCAGTTCTATCTCCTCTGCCTCCCAAGGTGCTAAGATTATAGGTGTGAGCCACCGTGCCTGGCATATTCTAAGATCTTGGAACTTCCTTTTGATCCTTAGGTTGCAGTTACATTTTTGAAGATTAGTAAATCATGAAGATGGTACTTCACTGAACTATTGTCTTTTTTATTTCTTATTTTTAAATTTTTGTTGTTTAGAGACAGTCTTGCTCTGTTGGCCAGACTGGAGGTCTGGTGACTCAGTCATAGCTCACTGTAGCCTCCAACTCCTTGGCTCAAGTGATCCTCCTGCCTCAACTTCCTGAATAGCTGGGGTTACAGGTGTGAGCCACCATACCTGTCTAAATTTTTAAAATTTTTTTGGAGAGATGGGGATCTGACAATGTTGCCTAGGCTGGTCTCAAATGCCTATGCTCAAGCAATTCTGCCTTGGCTTCCCAAGTGCTGGGATTATATTGTGGGCCACCGCATGGACTGAGCTATTATCTTTTTTTTTTTTTTTTTTTTTTACAAGAACACAAATCCACTTTTATTTATTTACTTTCCATTAGTTTAAATCATTGAGGGGTACAGCATTACACAGATTCTGTGTCCAATGGCCTTAGCAGGAAGTTTGCTTCGGAAACCATGCTACTGTTTACCATGGGCCCAAGTTACCTTTCCCCAGATTACTTTGGTTTGCCACCAGGAGTCACTGTGTTGTTCTTTGCTTTATATACATAAGCACATCTTTTACCCAAATAGAATTCAGTTTCATCTCGAGCATAAACACCTTCAATTTTGAGAAGAGCTGTGTGCTCCCTTTGGATCCAGAGACCTCGCTTATAGCCAGCAAAAATGGCTTTGGACCACAGCCTTCCAGACATATTTGCCTCTTAGAAGAAGATGGCGGAAAGAAAAAGGCCTGAGCTGTTATCTTTATAATCTTAATATTTGTTTTCACTTAAACTAACAGACATAGTAACAAGAAGGAATCTTTTGCAAAGTACTTCCTGTGGCTTCAGGATTCTAGAAAGCTGGTATGCTCTGTAATTGTCTTGAGGATCTAAGGACACTGTCACAGACACATTGCCTAGGAGTAGGAGTCCCAGTTCTTGGTCTTGCTGTGTGACCTGGTCAAGTTCTCATGAATTCTCTGGTTTTTCAGTCTCCTCATAAAATGGGAGAATATGGACCCCTCGTGGCTCAAATATTCTTTCTGTATTAACACTAGCTCCTCTAGTTTTTCTGTGAGTTAGACTACCTTAAAATATCAGCAGTTGTCATTCATTTATTCAATGAACATATATCGAACACTTAACACTTTGCTTGTGTGCTTGTGTTAGGTCCTATGCCAAACCATGGGATTATAGAGGTGAATACAGACTTGGTCTTTTTTTTTTTTGAATTGGAGTCTTACTCTGTCACCCAGACTGGAGTGCAGTGGCATACTCCTGGCCACCGCAGCCTTGACCTGCTGGGCTCCAGCAATCCTTCCGCCCCAGCCTTCCAAGTAGCTGGAACTACAGGTGTGCACTACCATGCCTGGCTAGTTTTTGATTTATTGTAGAGGTCTCACCAAGTTGCCTTGGGGGCTCTCGAACCCGCAGGCTCAGACAATCCATTTGCCTCGGCCTCCCAAAGTGCTGGGATTACAGGCTGAGCCACTGAGCCCGGCCTGTTTTTTTTTTTGTGTGTGTGAATGTGTGTGAGTCGGAGTCTTACTCTGTCGCCCAGGCTGGAGTGCAGTGGCATGCTCATGGCCACCGCAGTCTCAACCTAACTGGGCTCAGGCGATCCTTCCACCTCAGCCTTCCAAGTAGCTGGAACTAAAGTCATACACCATCATGCCCAGCTAATTTTCTTGATTTATTGTAGAGGTGAGGTCTCACCAAGTTGCCCAGGCTGGTGTTAAACTTCTGGGCTCAGGCAGTCCTCTCATCTCAGCCTCCCAAAGCGCTGGGATTATAGGCGTGAGCTACCGCACCCTGCCTGGTCTTTGTTTTCATGGGTCATATAGTAGAGCCAAAGGGTGGGGGGCAGAAGCCCTGCGAACAAGGGCTAACCTAGATTGGGGGTTCAGGAAGTGATGCTTGCAAATGAAGAATGAATAGCTGGAAAAAGGGAGGGAGATGAACTCTTAATAACATCATGTGATATCTCAGTAACATCATTCAGAGGGTGATAGCTACCATGTCCCTTCATAGCCCCTGTCTTGCTCCTGGGCTCTTTGTTCCTTTATAACCAGCTAACCAGCTCTTTCCCAGGAGGCTGATTAGACTTTCAGGCAGTCAGAAACTTATCCAGCCTTCTTACTTGGTCTTCTGTTGTAACACAGTAAACTCTTGTATGTAGCACCTACTGTGTGCAGAGCCAGCAAATGCATCATTTCCAAGTACGGTGGGTAAGAGCATGGACTCTGCACTTAGGGGGCCATGGGCTTGAGTGTTGATCTTTCCTTCTACTCCCATCCCCTTTACTTTGTAGCTGTGTGGCCTTAGATGAATCACTAAGTCTCTGAGTCTAATTTTTCTTACCTGTAAGAAGGTGTAATTTCTACGTCACAGGATTGTTGTGAGGATAAAAAAAGGTAAAAGTACCAACCTTGGTAATATGTGAGAACAACAAAAAAATTAGCAGGATGTTGTGGTGCATGCCTGTAGTCCCAGATACTTGGGAGGTGGAGGTGGGAGAATCCCTTAGTCCAGGAGTTGAGGGCTGTGGTGAGCTGTGATTGTACCACTGCTCTCCAGCCCGGCTGTGAGTATGCCACTGTACTCCAGCTTGGGTGACGGGATGAGACTCCAATTCAAAAAAAAAAAAAAAAAAGGTAAAAGTGTACCCCTTTTTAGAACCACTTGGGGCTAGATATGTTTTGGGATTTAGAATTCTTTGGATTTTAGGAAGGCAATCAGTGCATATACTGTATATTACATACGGAATCCCAATCCAAGGGTCAGGAGCAGCATCCTGTAATCAAACACATTAATGTTTCTACAGAGAAATATATATCAACATTTATATTTATATCAAATTTATATCAACATTTAAACCAAGTAGAGAAATGAAGGATATAAATACCTTCATGCCATATGCTTTAAAAAACTACAAAAACATTTTTAGTTTTAGCTTTTTTTTTTTTTTTGAGTTGAAATCTCACTCTGTCACCCAGGCTGGAGTGCATGGCATACTCTCAGCCACCCCAGCTTCTACTTGCTGGGCTCTGGTGATCCTGCCTCAGCCTTCCAAGTAGCCGGAACTACAGACATGCACTACCATGCCCTGCTAATTTTTGATTTTATTGTGGAGACAGGGTCTTGCCAAGTTGTCCAGGGTGGTATAAATGAGTATTTAATGTATCTAATGTATCAAATGTGATAATTTAGTTCATTAGGCAAATGACGATTTAATAAGTCATGCTGTTGTAACTGGATTTTTTTTAAAACAAAATTTATCATCTGTTGTACTCCAGAAAAATAAATTACAGGTAAAGAAAATCTTTCAGCCGGGCACTGTGGCTTATGTGTAATTCCTGCACTTTAGGAGGCAGAGGCTAGAGGATTGCCTGAGCCCAGGGGTTTGAGACCAGCCTGGACAATTTGGTGAGACCTAATCTCTATAATAAATTTTTAAAAAATTAGCTGGTTGTGGTGGCCCACACTTGTAGTTCCAGCTACTTGAAAGACTGAAGCAGAAAAATTGCTTGAGCCTAACAAGTTGAGGCTGTGGTGGCTGTGATTGTGCAACTGCACTTCAGCCTGGATGACAGAGTGAGACTCCTACTTAAAATTGTCTTACAAAAAACTAAAAATAGAACTACCATATGATCTAGTGGTCTCACTTGTGGATATATCCAAAATTGGAAGCAGGATTTATTTGCACACCCATGTTCCTAGCAGCATTATTCAGAATAGCCTAAAGGTGGAAGGAACCAAAGTCTCCA